GTTACTTTATTCGTTTATATTCGTTTTTGTAAAAATTTCGAAATCTGTACAACGAGACTGAGGTTGATAAAAGATAGCGCTAATCACTTACTTACTTACTTAACAAATCATCTATGAATAGATTATATAAAAAACTTGAAAATATTTCATGAAAATTCTACAAAACTATGAAGCCTTAAGAAACACGGATTCATGTAGAATTTTCCCAAGAAATACTAAAATTTTTTACAAACTTTTCAATAAGATTTCCAAAGAAATCATCGAAATCGAAAGTAACGGGCGATGTTAAAATTGTTTTTTCAATAAAGAAAAAGATTTCCGAGAATGAAAATTAGAAATTCCTTTAAATTTTAGGTGAAACAATCATCTATAAAAAAGAATTTTGGAACCAAAGGATTGTGCCACTTTTTTTCTCTTGTGGAACTTTGATCAATTTAGAGGGTAAATTTATTCAATTCCCCAATCCATCTAGATTTGCTATTTAAGCCAATTTTAATCGTATAACGAAATGAATGAATTGATCTTTGAGCATTTGAATTCAAAAAAATTGGAAATATAGATGAGGTTCGGAACGAGATTCGGAAGTTATTCGTTATTTATGAAATATCATTGTTTGACGAGAATGAGTTTTTATTCTTCGTCTCATCGAAGCAAAATGATATACAATTCTGAAACAATTTTATCAAAGTGATTGATAATCTGACATAAAGTATCGAATTCTGTAAGGATTAGTCCAATTCTTATATAATGTGCACATTGCAAACGACAGCGCATATTTAAGAAAAAACGTATTATCAGTTTATCAATGAAATGAAGTACTGAAACCAATTCAAGGAAGAAAAACTCATATTACAGGTTTATCTACGAAAACTATATGGCTATACATATATATATATATAAATGAAATGGTACCACAAATATGGCATAGAACGGGCGATTTTTTCAATAAAATTCATTTTTCATTTAATAGAATTTCTAGTTCTTCAACGAATTCATTTTAGTGAATTTTTAAAAAATTTGGCTAAATCGAATATCGCTCCCCGTACACTAATTTGAATTCACTAAAATGAATTCGTTGAAGAACTTGAATCATTTTATAAATTATATAATAAATAAAAAAAAATTTAATAAAATTTTCAAAAAGATTGATTGAAAATTTTAAATGTTAATGCAATATAAAATCTAATTTCTATATATTCTCATAATTTAAAAAAAAAAAAACGAATAAAGAGATTTTTTAATCAATCAAGTGATAATGAATTAAAGTTCAAAATAATTTTTTAGCTAAAAATTTCCATTCATTTTTTTTTTAGCGAAAAACTGGAATAAAACAAAAAAAAATTTTTTGCAGCTTAGGAATATTTATTCTAAAAGATTAAGAGTTATTATATTATTATTATAATATATATATATATAAATTCCCTTTTTAGATTTATCCAATAAATTCATTTATAGTAATAAATGAAAAATGTCAATTCAATCAGCTCACAAATCATAAATTAAGAAAAAACGAAAAAATTTTAAAAATTAAATTAAGCGATACATATTACATATATTATTTAGCAAATTAACTTGAAAAAGTAAATTATATTTTTTTCATTTAAAAAAAAGATTTATTAACCTGGGAAAGAACGAAATTATTTTCAACGTATTTTTCATGAAAAATGTTGCCATATGAAGTAATCGTTCAAATCAATTATAGGCAATAATGATTTAATCCATGAAAATCAAAGAAAAATCGGCCATAAAGTTCGATTCATAGAAATCATAAATTCATGAAAATTTATCCCAGTTTATTCCTAATTTTTCAAATTTATTTATGATGCAATCATTTCTCCATAATGCATATTTTTTGCAGATCGTTCTATTTTCTTCTTTTTATTTTATATCTTTTCCAGTATTCATAAATCCAAAATTTTCTATCTTCGTAGAGCAATTCGTAAGATATATGAAAGGATTTTTGTTGAAAAAGTTTATTTATATAATTTATTTGGAAATTATTTATAAAAAAAGTTTTAAAAATTTAAGAAAAAAAATCTATTTAAATCTTTAAATAATTCAAATGGCTAAAACTTTCTTTGATAAATGCAAAATTATTAAACAATTGCAAACGATTTAAAAATCTTCTAAAAATGAGAATAAATAAAGTAAAGAAATGATGAATTCTTTATTTAATATTCATAAAAAATATCAAAAAAACTATTTTTTTACGAAAAAATTTAAGAAAAAATTTTTTAAGAAAAAAGAAAAGGCAAAAAAATTGAATTGAATAAAATATTAACTGATAGGAAAAAATGAATAGGAGAAAATAAAAGCCTAAAATTTTTATTGAATACGTTTTTTTTAACGGTTTATAAAGCAGTTTCCTCTTTGCTTTTATTAATCTATGAACATTTTCGCGTGATCATATTCGGTACTATGAGAGTGAAAATTTGCTTTTTGTGCTCTTAATTCATCATCATCTTTGAAATAATTCGAAGATTCAATCTGCATTTTCCGTTTCATTAATATTTTATTGGAATTTTACATAAATTAGGACTAATATTTACCAGAAAAACGTTTACATAGAGTTCCACCAAATAATGAATTAGCAAAAAATAAAATTAAATTCATATCGATTAAAATTTACGATTGGTTTATCATTTTACGGCTTTTAGCATATACATATATATATATGATAAAAGATAGTAAATGACTGATATGATAAGTATTATAAGTATTATTTACATATGTGCCGCATCATTTTCCATAGTATTCTTCAATAATTTTAGTTGATGTATCAAAAAATCTTTTTCCATTTTTAGCGTTTGTACTTCATTTCGAGCTTCATCGCGTTCATATTTTAGCTTAAATAATTTTTTAAAAAAAAAAAAAGATTAATTAATTTTTTTTAATGAAAAATTTATGAAAGAAAAACGATTAATTAATTTTAAAAATAATTAAATTCTTAAATTTTTATCGAATAATTCTATATTTATTAATTAAATAAAGAGGAATTACTGAATTAATTTCTTTTTGTTCATTTAAAAATAAATTCTTTGGAGTTTGATCGACGTTGTTGTTGTTGTCGTCACCGTTGTCATCGTTATATGGCCGATTTAATTCTTCCATCTGCAATAATTGCATTAATTATATTTTATATATTAATTATATATTGATATATAATTAATTTATATAATTTATATATATATATATTAATTATAATGAGATTTTGAAAAAATTATTGTATAATGGCGTATTAAAGAACAAAGTACTTAGAAAATACTAATATTAATATATTTTTTTTTTTAAGAGTCCTCACCATTACTGGTTAAACCCGCTCCACTGGCCTGTCGTATTGGGCACTATGCTAGGGAGTCCCTTGGCGATATAAATACAGGTGAGTCGCCAGCATCACCGGGATTTTTGTACAGGTTTACTCCTGCGGGGAATCGAACCTCAGCATCGGCGCTCCCAATTGAGCAACAACCCACTAAGCCATTCTATCCCCAATATTAATATATTATTTGTTAAAATTCACCATATATGAAATTAATTAAAATTATTCCCAGTTTTAAGAAAATATTATATTATAAAATATTATTTTCAATAATTACTTCTTCTTTTACAGTGTTCTTTGATGCTTCAAGTTCGGCACATTTTGCTTCCAGCATTTGCAATTCCATGCGTAATTCATTGCATTGTGTCTCCAGTTCATGAACCGTACTGAAAATGGAAAATTAAACTTATTATTATTAAATTATTGCTAAAATATAATGGTGATTTGCAATCATCCCTAGAATAAGTTTTATAAGCTTAGGTAAAATTTTTGTTATTCTCAAATTCATCATTAGATCGAGTGTTTTGATTCAGTCCTAATCCTTACAGGTGGTGGAGCCATCTTAACCAACAAATAGTGCGTGCTACTATAGGACAAAGAAAAAGAAAATACATAAATAAATATACATAAATATATAAAATATTTATAAAATATATAAGAAAATAATAATTTTGAGCCTAATATATAATCATATCAGATAAAATTAGCCAACAAAATTGGAGAGACATAGTAGAGAAGAAAAGAAAAGATCAGGAAGGCAAACTATGAAATAAGAAAAAGATTGGGTGTTACAAATTCGATAAGAACTATTTATTGCCATCGGAAGTAGAATCCCAGTAGAATCAGTGAATCTGATGGTAGTAATGGTCCATTGAGCTATTTCACCTCATAATTCACAAGTGAAAGTGAAAGATTATGCATCGAAAAAAAAAAATTGTGAAGAAAGATGGAAAACAAGAGTGGATAAAATAGTTTTAAGATTTAGTGGAACCTATTTGAAATTCTTAATCTTGAATAATTTTATCTAATAACCACTAAAAATTTAAAAAATTGCTTGACTTATTTATTGCGCCTCGAAATTAAAATAAGTAAAATAAATAAAAATAAGTAAAAATAATTCAATAAATTAAAATAAATATAAATAAAAATAAATGAGTGAATTAAAATTAAAATAAAATAAATTCCAGTTAAATTTAAATTAATATATTTAAATTCTTGGAAGTCAACAGCTAATTATAATAATCGTTCAACCATAAAAATAAATATATAACTGAATATATAAAAATATCACTGAAAATATATCATTTTTTCATAATATGGCATATTCCTGAAATCATATCTTTTCTATATATTTTCATTGTATTTTTATTTTTGCCCAGTGATGCCCAATATTAAGTTTATTTTAAAGCAAAGCAATATTTAATAAATTTTGATGATAACATTAAATAAGAATTTTAATGTTAAATTTTTATATTTAATATAAAACAATATTATTTAAAAGAATAGAAAGGAACCTGTTTTCTGAATAACTCGACTCTAAATTTACATGTTGTAGGATTATTTTTGGGTGCGCATCATTTTCCTGAAAAAAAAAGGTTTCATTTTTAGGTTGATCTTTCGATTTGGTCATTATAATAGACCTATTATCATCGTTAAGTTATTCAAAATTTGAAAAAGCTAATTAGCCAACTAATAATTTAGGAAATATTTTCACTTCTTGATCGGTATTGACCATTGTGCTAACTGTATCTGGCTTTGCTTGACATTCTTCATCTATAGTGATTGTTGGTGTAGGTGTAGGTATGTTTAAATGAGAAGCCTATAAGTGATATAATTTGACTACAAGCAAGTATTTTAAAAATTAAAACTCATTCTTCGTCTCATTATAGCAGTAATAAATAATTGTGGTTTCTTTATGGTACCACAAACGAATGAGCAAAATTTCATGGCAAAAGATAGGTTAATATAAGTCGAATCGCTAAGATTAAATTTAAAAAAGAAAACTTTACGGAATTGTTCGTTATTTGTTGCTTTTGCAAGATGTGTATAAGCGCCTTTGCTTTAGATAATTCTATTTCAACATTCCTCTTAGTACTTTGTAATGCTCTTATTTCTTCCTGAAAACGATATCTTTGAGGCAATAAAATAACCAAATATCAAATATAGAATTGATCGCTAAAGCCAATAACATAAGTCGTCTGACGAAACTTTAAGTGAAGTTTTTATTTTAGAATTATCTATTACATTATTATTATTGCGACGATAATCTAATGATTTTATCATTAAAATTGGATTTTTAAAGCATCAATCACAAAAGCGTCAATAAAATAAATGAATGAAAAAAATATCTTAAAATTGGTAAATAATGAAACTTCCTTTCATCTGTCGATAAATTATCTGTACCGCAAGTTTCTGTGAAAAATCAAACCAAATTATAAAAATTACTGAAATATTATTCACCATAGCTCAGGTAGTCGATCTAGTAGATTAGCCAGAATTTTTATAAGTAGGACATAGGACATAGCAATTGCAAACATTACGGGAATAGAATTTTAGCTGAATAGTAGATTATTAGACACTTAGAATAATAATTTACCTTTGCCTCCTCTAATGCGATCCTTAATAAATATCCTTCCTCACGAGAACGATTTCGTTCGTCCCTCACCGTACTCCATTTTTGTCTCCATGAAGCTGTACATTCGGACCACCAACGCATTGTTTTCTCCATTTGTGCTGCTCTTTGTCTAGCCTTGATTTTCAAATATATTAAAATATTTGAAAGCAATTAAAATCGATTCAAGTCAAATCAAAGCCAATGAAAACAATATTTTCAAATTTTCAATGGCCTAACACCAATTTTATGTAATGACTGATAGCAATATGACAATAGTATTAAATTAAGCGAAAAAAAGCCAAAAATATACTTCATTAAGTTCCTGTAATCGAGCCATTTCACATGCATCCCAATCTGTGTGCTGACAACGGACAATAGTTGTCGAAAACAATCTCATACTGTCTAAAAAATAAAACATGAAAAATGAATGAAATCGACTCTGTTGTATTTTTTATATTATTTTATGTCCTTATTAGCATTCGTGATCCTTTTAAAGAGTCGAATATTCTAAATAGATTTTGTAAGATTATTAAATCTATAAGTTTATTTATTTATGGGACAATTCACTGAGAAAAACTCAAAAAATTAAAACTATATAGAATTTAGTTGGAAAAAAAAACGAAGCTAATCAACTGTTGGCCATATGTTTTAAACTTTATGTGATTGAATGTTCAATGGCATAAATTTTTTTAGAAGCAGTCACCATTCCTGGTTAGGTTGCTTCACTCGCTAAATTTTACTATGCAGTCGCTTGACGATAGAACTATAAGTCGTCAACACCTAAATTTTTCATATTTACTTCTTCCAGGAATAATAGAACTACAGCCTTAGCGTTTTGAAATAAGCACCACAACCCACTGAACTATTCTACTATTTACGTATTGTATGCTTTCAAAAATCATATCGTAAATTGTTTTATAAACATTTTTTTTTTAAATATTTAAAATTATTAATATAATATAATTTTTTAACACATATAATATATAATTTTTGATTTTATTTGAATCAATTTAGGCTAAACAATATTTATAAAAATATAAAAATTTTTAAAACTATGCATCCGCGATTAATTCTTTTGTGTAATGAATGCTATGCACAATAATGTTTTACGTAATTATTAAAAATAATTTATTTTTTGCGCCAAAATTTTTCTTTAAATCTTTAATTAAGATTTATAAATTTCAAAATTATAAACATTTTTAACAGACATTTATTATTAATGGTTTATTAAAAATTCGCATAAGAAACGCAATTTATTTAAATTGGAATGTTTTTTCAACACTTTTGCAAAAGATATTTATAAAATGATCGAACCGCCTAATTAATAAAATAAATCAAAAATAAATTAATAACATATAAATAAAACTAGAAAAATTGAATCGGCATTATATAAAACAAATAAAAATGCAACTTTACTGTGCTTAGGAAATAATTATTTGTTTTACAATTAAGTTTAATCAACTAAAAGTAAAAAAAAATTATTAATATAATTTTTAATATAATAAAATATAATATAATATATAATATAATAAAAATTATTATTGTTAATATAAAAAATTATATTATATATTATAAATTATATATGAAAAATTATATATATTAATATATACAAAATATTGAAAAAGTCAGTCATTTTAAAGCATTATTTTTATTTATCATTATTATCATTGTTATTATTTATAGATATTTTTTATTTCTATAATCGATTATTATTATCATAATTATTTTTCTATTGTTAATTATTGTCATCATTATATTCATTAATATTTATAGTTATTATTATTATTGTTGTTATTAGATACTATTATTGTTATTGTTATTATATGTTATTAATGTTAATATTGTTATTATTAATTAATTATTCAAGAGCGAATGGCACTGTAGATTGATATTGCCTATTTTCGAAGTACCGATGGTAGTTTTATTCTTAAATATAATTCAAAATTTCGATAAAATTAGCAAATCATCGCGATTTTTATCGCCAAAAGACTCTTCTAGCGAAATTTTTCTGGTCCGATGTAGTTAGCCTAGCGAGTCAAATGAAAAATTATGAGTTCTGAGAGAAAGAAAATTATTATTCGCTGTTTCTCGTCGTTAACACTAGCATATGGACGGATTCATATTATGTGCCCATATTTTTGCCCCAAATCTTCCAGATCCAGCTTCTTTATTATTTCTAATCCTCTCACATCATATATCTTTAGCTTGTTTGTTTTTTATTATAAACTCATTGCAAATTTTGTTTTGCTTGGTTTTTCTTAGACAACTTAAAAATAAAAATAGCTAAATGAACAGACAACAAATTGTCATCCAATAAACAAAATTTTGCATTTTTCAATAAAATAAAATTACCGTTAATTCGTTCTAAGCTCTTTTAAAATCAACCGCAAATTTCATTAGATAATTTCATTGAAGCAATAATTGTCGAAATTTTTCATTTTTTTTTTTTCATTTTTCAAATTTATTAATTAAAAAAATTTTAGTTTATTTGCCACTTAGCCATTAAGAGAATAATTTCTTTCATTAACAGTTAATTATTTCTCTAAAGGGATTGTATTCAATCTCCCTTTGATTTGCATTCTGTACATCGTAAAATAACATCAAAGTTCAAAAAATAAACGATTTTATTAATAAATTTAGCTTAATAAGTACCATTCGTGTCCGAATATCGATTGTGTATGGACGTTGAAGCAGGATCGATCATCATCTGTTAACCGAGCAATAGCTATTGAAATTTAAAGACTGATTGCTACTGAACACCTGACACCTAAAATCATATGAGATCTCGTTATATCTCCCATTCTTTGAATATTTTTTAAAATTAACAAAATTTTTCTTATTTATAGCTTCTGTGGAAAAAAAATTAAGATTGGAATGTTAAATAAAATTTTGCATTTGATGCAATTAAGTACAGAGTTTTTTTCAGTTATTCGCCTTTGATTCGATTATCAGCTGGTGTATTTTAAAAATTTTTCGAAAATTTTTTATTTTACCTGAGTAGTAGTAGAAATGGCGTGAAGATTTCTGTTAAATAAGTGAGTGTTAAGTAAGTGTTCAAAAAGCTTCTTAATCATATGTGAAAAAATAGTTGAATTAACGAAATCTTTAACGACCTCAGCACAAGTTTTCCAGGTCTTGCGATTATCTATTATTGTAATAATATTTTTTGAAGAGCATTTTACTGATTAGGTTCAATCCTCTCACTTGCGGCACTACACGCCACAAATACGCCAGAGATTCTCTTGATGATAGAATCCGGATTTTTAAATAAGTTTATTTCTTCCAGGAGGAGAATTTCAGCATTGATGCTCCAAACAATAACCTATTGACCCATTCTACTTTCTTTTACTTTTCTCCGTTACGCCACAGTGTCGTTCGACAAATAATACTGCGTCAGCGAATAAACATGAATATTATTACAATATTTGTATTGTTATTTTTGATATTATTTATTATTTTTCCTAATACTACTGTTATATCACTAGTAATTATTAATATTGCCCTTATTAATTGTCGTTATTGCCGTTATATATGATTTATTTTGAATTTTGCGAAAGAAAATATGTGGAGGGCTGAAATTTATTTCTTATCATGGTAATCTGCAACAAAATTTCTATTTTTTTTTTTACAACTGAATCGATGAATATTAATTGATTTACTGATGATTATTAGTTTGATCTCTGCGAACTTTATAAATTAATAGAAAATTCGTTTTTAAAAATTCAATAATAATTGCATGTATTTTAAGATTTTCATTAAAGTGACTAAACATAAAATTTTATAGCTTTTTAATAGCAAAGTACAAGTTTATATTTTACACTAAAATAATTTCTATTTTATATTCATATAAAATATAATGAAAATTAAAATATGCCATTTTTAAAATATTAAATTATTAGATTAACAAATGGACAGCACGAAATTACAAGAAATTTGCATTCCAAGAAAAATTTTTTTAAAAATTTGAATTTTTGAGTAGAATTTATACAAAAATAAAAAATGGAATTAATGAAAAATGGCATTTTCTTAAATGAAAATGAAAAATGGATTTTTCTTAAATGATTTCGGATTGGAAATCTGATTTTTTTCACTCTCAACATTTTAGCGTTATTTAATAATATTTCATTGTTCAATATTAATGGAAATTTTTCTGTAAATGCAATTTTTTAGGTTTTCTACCCGTAAATAAATCAAATTTCCTTCAATCTCTACTTAAAATATCTTCAAGACATAGAACTTATTTAAGACCCCTCAAAATTTTTGCAGAATATTTTTTAATGAATTTATTTAAATTCCTGGCTATTCCTTTTAGAAATTTTATGCGATTTTTTGCATATTTTTTACATATTTCATATAATATGCCCACAGATTAACTGATGGCTTAACGATATGAAAATGAAAATATATATTTATGAAAATATATAATAAATATATTTTGAAAAATTAGAAAAAAATTTGTTTAGGAATAAATTTTTTAAAAAGAATATATTTATTCATAAAAATTTTTCAATTTTTCAAAATTTTTCAATTCAGTTGAATCCTTCCTTCATAATATTAAATATTAAAATTTTTTATTAAAAAATTTGCATAATTTTAAAATGATAATAATAATAATTTTAAAATGTTTTTGACTTTATGAAGCAGCAAACATAGTTCATTCTATTATACATCCTTTTCAGAATTACACATCCAGTTTGTTTGCAGAATATTTAGTGATTTAAGAGAAATAGCTAAAAAAATATTTGCTGTTAGGAAAGGAATCTTAGGAATTGAGAATAATGCCTTAGTTATTTATTATAAGAATTTATTGCAATTTAAAAATATTTGAAAAAGTAAAAAATTTGAATGAAATAGAGCAAAATACATTTTATCGATTCAAGAAATTATTTTTTCCAAAAGACTTCATTATTTCTGGCTCGGCTCGCCAGGCTATCTTATTGGGTTGAACAATATACATCAATACATTTTTTGATGGGGATTTTCTTTGGGATTGTGGATTTGGGATTAAATTTAAGTGAAAATGGTAAGCACAACTCGACTTGAATTTTAATTGCATTGTAAGATTCTTTGATGAAATTTTTAATTTTCAATAAAAAAAAATCACAGAAATTACAAAATTATCAAAAAAATCATTCACTTTAAAAGACCAAAATATTTGGCCAATAAATAATCGAAAAATAATTTAATCATAACAATTTAATAAAATTTTTTGAGGAAAATGAGGTCAAAAATAAAAATAATAGCACCGAAATTGGAAAAAAAAAGTTTGAAGCAAGCAAATTTTCTTCCTTTTATAATAAGCTCACACCGGATCGAAATGATAATATCACATCGATAATATAAAAGCCAGTATTAATGAAAATTAAAATCTACAATTGTTATTGAAATGAATTATTGGATTTGAGTGAATTGATTTAGAAAAAATCTAGTTTCTTGGCTAATGATTTAGCGATTAAAATTTTAGAAACAAAATAAACTGTTAGTATTGAACTCTTAGAAAATTTGAAAAAAATTTGCAGGTAAATTTGCGGACTTATGAAAATCAATCATTTGAATAAAGCGATATTTGATAGGATTTTTGCTACGAAAAATTGTGAAAATTTTAATTTAAAATAATTCACTAACTGTGGCAATAATCCATTCAGGCTTAGGACAAACTTCTTTTATCATTTGTCCTTGAGGCGGATAGCATGATGCATAATAAGCTTCAATCGTGCCACCCAATATAAAAAACAACGAACCAAGAACACTAATAAAATAATCCTGAAATATTGGCAATGTATCTATGATAAGTAAGTAAATATAAAATTTGGCAGTGTTTAATGATCGAAATTTAAAAATTTAATTTTAAAGCTCGAAATGGAATTTAAAATTAAATAAAATATAAAATAATGATATGAAATTGCTTATCAACAAAGATTTGATTAAAGAAATCCAAATTTTTGAAAATGCAACTTACTAAACGACGTAACCAATGATACCTATTGACAAAATATGATAAAATGAGCAATAATAATGCAGCAAAAGCAAAAAACAAGGCAATAGCAATAACAAGTCCTTGCCATTCAGTTTTCGTCCTCACAGCAAATTTATAAAATGACAAATCATGGATTGGATATAAAATAAGTCCTAATATGACTGAGCTAAGCAGCTAAAAAAAATAAATGCATAATAAATATTATTAAAAAATCCCAAATTTTTGCGAACTTTGAAGTGTTAATTAGTCTAGAAAAAATTTTATAAAATAATAATTTAATAAAATAATTAATAAAATAATAATATCAATAATAATGACCGATTGTTTAGGAAAAATTATTGCCAATTATCCTCGTTAAGACTCTAAATTAAAAGATCTAAAAAAAAAAAGTTTAATAATAGAAGTTAATTTTGAAAAAAAAAATTCGAACCAATTCGATAACTTTTAATATTATTCGTAAAGCAATAGGATAACGATTTTCACTCGATTTAGAATGAGATCTTGTAAGTTGAAGAATGCTTGGCGGATAAGTTACATAACTAGGCGTATAGTGTGGCTGTATTCTCGTTAAAACAGACATAGACATATTCGGCTTACGAGTGAAAACTGGAAAATTATTTTTCTTCCTTGGCATACCAATCGTTTTGAAATGTCCTTGTCTTCGTTGCTTTTCAACTGCTTGAATCGGTTGAGCTTAATAATGAGTTTACTATTATTTTAGGATTTCGATGCAATGAGCAATAATTATTTTCTTTTTTTTTTCATTTGATTCCTATTTTTTTTAAAAGAACAATAAAATTTTTTAGAAAATTTTAGAACCATAAATTTTTTAGAAAATAATAAAACTCAGCATGAATATAAAACAACTGGGCTGAACTGGGTTCGTTCATGGCTTAAAATCAAATAATAGTAAAAAAAAAAACAAAAGAAAACAAGGCAAGAATTACTTGGGTAATAACGGTGAAATAAATCGGTAGGATTTCCTCCAAATTCGGTCTCCTGCAGTGCTTGGTTCTGTTTCAAAGAAATTTCAAAAAAATTATTTTAATAAAAATGGTAAATGAATTTTGCCATAATATTTAGTTATTAACGATAAGTTTTTAAGTGATATTACCAATTTTTTTTTAATTTGAAAAATTTAGAACATACTTGATGAGTTTCAATTCGAGGGAAATTTTCGCGTTTTTTCCTATATAACGGTATATTTCGAGTCGTCCTTCTTGGTCCCGAATAATATCTCAAATTGTTGAGCAAATTGCTTGCATATAATTAATTAATTAATTCTAGTAGAATTCTAGTAGAATATTTAAGAATTGTGAGCCCTAAACTAGAAAATTGATTTTAACAGTGGAATATATCATTGTTTGCCTAATAATTTATAATTTCAGCTAGAAACAGCTCATTAATTTTGTATAATTTTTCACTAAATTTCATTTCTCGCTTTCTTAAATGCAAAGTCAATTTATTCAGAATAGAATTCTATTATATTTGCTTCAGCTATCTTTAAAACTTTCATTATATAAAAATTATAAATCTTAGTCCATTCGCTTTGATTTAATTGCAATTATTTGTGATCAGTTGCAATCTTTTTTTTAAATTGTCAGTTTAAAGCCAAACCGATAGTTTGCTTTATCTAAAAAATGAAAATCGGTCGTATTCGCTTTCGTGTATTTAATCAGTGGTGCCTGACTAATTCGTTTTACAGGAACAGCTCTAAAAAAAATTAAATAATTAAAATTTTTTCATATCTTAAAAAATATTAAATATTATCAAGTTATCACTATTACCTCATAAAAATCACAATAGTGATTCATAAATCATTACTATATTATCTAAGAAATTTAACGTCAAAAGAATTAAAGGTGATTGGAAATATATACGAAGAAGCGACTGGATTTATGTATGGCTGCGCATAAGATTTATATAATCCGCTATGCACTGTTGAAGTATTTCCATAATATGGGCAATATGAATCCACATGATCAGCTAAAATATTATTAAAATTGTAACTCAACGGTTGATTAACAATTAGGAACAAAATATTTTAGAGAAATAATTGCCTCATAATAATTTTAGTTCCAAAATTTCTCAACTAATTTATTATTAATTATTAGCCTTAGACGATAATAAAATGATAGATTAGGAAATTTTTTAAAAAAAAGCTAGAAAAAAATATAAATCCATAAATAATAAATGAAATTGAAGTTTGATGAGACCTTCCTTGCAATATTTCAACTGTTCTATTTCAATGGATCATGAATATGCATGAATATTTTATCTTTTTTGTATTATTTTGTATTATTACGCAAAAAGATGAATATTAATCTACGTTTCGTTAAATATCATAAATAATAAATAAGTATTGTGAAAAGTATACCGTGGTAGGTCGGATTGGAAAAAACTTCACCATAACCTAAATTATACATACCACTATAATAATATGATGGAAATGGCGCCAAATCGAAATTACCCTGCAAAAAGAAAATTTTTCTTAAATAAAGAAAAAATTCGAATAACCTAGTTGGTTAAATATAAAAATAATAGAAAAATTTTGTAAAGCGCTTCTTCTTGAATGCAACTAAAGCAAATCATTTATCTTTTGGCTCTTGAGGAACGTCGCCCCTTCAATTCGATATTATTTGGCAATTCTCACTATGTAAACATTAGGAAGAAGATGAGTAAGCAGATTTAGGAGATATAAAAAGATAGATTAGGAAGATTCTAAGGAAAAACTAGAAAAATGAGATAAATTCATAAATAGTAAAAGAAAACTTGTTGAGTTCTTTTTTAGTGGACAAGCATTTGCTAAAAACAATATTATTTTAAGAAAAAAGAATATTAAAAGAAAATTATTTTTTTAAAAGTTATTTTATAAAACTTGTTTGTCCCTCTAAGAAAGAATATAACTAGGAAAAAAGTCGTCGTTTGGCTAAAAAATCGTTTCTTTTCTATAAAAATTGATAGGAGGAATGAAAGAAAAATCCGAAGTTTCTCAATTAATTTTACAAATATTTTTCTCAATTAATAAATTATTAAGTAAATTCACGATTTATTCAATGTGAATAAATGTTCACTTGTCTATAGCATTCTAATAGTGTTTTAAATATGTAAATAAGACTAATTCAGAAAATATTTCTGCACTTCAATCAGAAAAGAGAAAAGAAGTAAAAAGGAGTAAGAAAAGAACATCTTCAAAATAGAACAGATTCATTAATTTGCTCTTATTTCGCTTCTATTTTTATTTCCGTATTTAGAAAGGATTTTGAGATTGATGAGCATTAAAGAATCCACTCTAATCCCAAATGGCCAGGTAAAGAATGAAATTGGATTTATTTCCGTATTCGGATAACGACAGCTTGAAATATGTTTTTCCGGTTGATGAAATCTTCATGGAACCGTCTTGAAATCGCTATAAAGACGAAAATCCGCACCCATGTAGCTGCAATTCGCTCGATCTTGCCATATGGCTGCGAAACATGGCCGATAAGAGTGGAAGATATTAAGAAACAATCAACCTTTGACCAATCACGTCCAAGATATATATATTTTAATCGACGATCTGTAATCCGTATATAATCCGTCGGATAAAATGATTATATTCATCTTCGCTAGAATCTGTATTAATAATGTTATTATAAAGCGTTCTTTGTCGTTCACCACAGGAGTTGATACATATTTCGCTACTTGCGGAACCCTGTGATGGTTGACGTCAAAAGCGAGGAGGGCCAGTCAAGACCTGGACTGATACAGTTAGAAAATTTTCGAACGTATAGGAAGACAAGCGATATATGGACTTGGACGATGAAAAAAGGAGTGACTTTTATTATTACTAGCGACTTCTATTATTACTGGCATCGGATCGAGCAGCTTTAGAGGCCCTTCTAGCCAACAGAGCCAGCCTAACCAGTAATGATGAGAGTAAGAAGAAGAGAAGACTTCATTCATGCAATTACTTTTCCCAGTAATTTTTTTTTGCCCATTCATTATTCCCAGAACACAACAATATACCATTTTTAACTGTAACTAAATAAGAGGAAAATAAAGAGCAACTATTATATCGATTCAGAATACAAAAGATTTTAGTAGTGAGGAGGACCAGTCGATGACTATAAAGTGGTCAATCAAGAAAAGTCAAACAAAAGTTAAGAATGTGATTGACCTTAAAATTGCTTACGTTGACAAGGTTAAATTACTTAAATGAATAAATTTTACTCATTGCGGACAGTTTTATGTATGTTTTTATGTCAAATAAAATTGAATTTTTCAAGTGATAAATTTTATAATAACTTAAGTAAAAGTGGCTCAGTTGATTATTGCATTCATTTCGAGATGCTGATGCAAGTGTTCTAATTCGAATGAATCGGCTCTCCGGCAAAAATCTGCCTGGTCCAATAAAGCTAACCGGAAATAATGAGTACCGTTGGAAAAAAATGGCGATATGAAACAAAAACAAGGTCCACTGAAGAAAATATCGTAAAAATATACATAAAAAGATAAATAGGAAACATTCGGCAAAATTTGACATTCCATTTTCACTATTCTAAGTGTAAATAATTTCTAAATTTTGAAAAGATATTGTATTTTAGCTAATTTTTTTTGGAAATTTTTTTTTTTTTTTTTGAAAAAATAAAGAAAGCAAAGAATGAAAAATCAAAATTTTGAGTATTTAAGTTGACTTAAATGATGAAAGGTTGTTTTAAGAACGGCGTACTTGTTTGCTAAACCTTTCCAATTTTCGATTCTCACATTAAACATTACCAATACAATAACTCGAATTATTTCTCATATCGTTAATCAAAATTCACGCTTTATTTATTGAGAATAACTTTTCGAGTGTTTTCAATAATTTATGGGAAAAAGAGTGATAAAACTTCTATGGAATTAAAACCATATTCAAAACGATTAGAATGGTACGTGGAAGGATCGTAAGGGTAATTGTTTCAATGAAACAGTGGAGGGCAATACGATACGTGCATTTCTCGGCAAAAATACCACTTATAGATCACAAAATTGTGGCTTTCATCATCTACCTAGCAACCTGAAAAAATTTTCTCTAAATTTCTAAATTGGCTTACGTTCTATTCGCTGAAAAATCTCAAAATATATCCACTACACTTTCTTGTGATCCTCTTAAGGTACTTAATTTTCGCTTAATATTTCTTCAAACACTCTTTATGCTACTTATATACCTGTTGAATCCACCTTGTAGAGCTTTAATGTTCTACAGTGCTCATCAATCTCAAACTCCTTTCTAAATACGAAAATAAAAATAGAAGCGAAATAAGAGCAAAATATTCTGCTCTCCTTCGAAGCTATTCTTTTCTTACTGCCTCGGCATATAATTCCTTTGCTTACATATGCTTCTAATAGGTCTAAACCGAAGGAAAAAATTTGTTATTTGGCTAAAGCCTATAAATGATTGCTAAAGAAAAAACTTTTTAAGATTCAGAATTAGAAATGAATAAAGCCAAGGCAAAGTTTAAATAAAATATTTTGGACCCACCAAAAAAAAGTAAGTGCCACAGTAGTATAACTTTAGGGCATATTCTGTGAAAGCAAATATCTCTTCGATTGTTAAATAGTTGCTTAGATGGCACTATTATTGTGGTATTGTTTTTTGATCTATTCTGGCCA